ATACTTGAATAAAAGTAGACTGGCATAAGCAGAATTGATCTACCCTACTCACTAAAGCCCAATATAAAAATCTAAAACAAAAGGCAGAATTTTCCAGCAGAAGAGTCACCAAGTACATTGAGTCCCTTGCTAAGGAACAAGAGTATCCCAACAGGCGGCAGGGGACAGTGGGCGCAGCAAAGGAACAGATGATACTTTGATAACCATGTCTGGAACAAGGTCCTGATCCCCAAGCCATGATCCTGTTTACTAGCAAGTTTACTTTGGACCTATCTGTAGTCATAGTTATGATGAAAGCCCCAAGTGAAAACTTGTGAAAAGAATTATAGATCAAACATAATTAGATTATCCGAGACACCAGGTGTAAATGCCTCTGCAATGCCAGGAAGAAATATACTGGATCTGTCTAAAATAGAACTTTCAAGTGCAGCTTGTGCTTCTCTATGCCAAATCAGATAAACAGCTTTCCCCCCTTGGGAAGGACATCTTTGTCGACTACTTCTCCCTTCTCAACATCTGAACTCAGTGAAATCTCTTTTGCTGTAATTTACTCACCAATATTACCATAGTCCTCATAATTGTTATCCGATTTTTTGATTTTAGTCTTCATTCTGAAGCATGTATCACTGTTGAACAGTCCCAGTTCTTAAAATCTCACCTTGTTAATTTCTTTCTCACCCTTCAATCCCATAGAAGGGCGGGAGTTAAGGAGAACTGCAAGATGCATAAATTTAAGAAGTCCACCCCAGTCTGAAGGAGAATAGAAGCTGTGCAGTTACGTGAAAGTCAGAGTTTGAGAATTATCTCACCAAGGCATTGAATTTGGCAGACTGAAACAATTCTGGAAAATAAAAACACTCATAACCCTTTTTAACCATTCAAGAGTGATGACATAGAGAAGCATCAAATGGCAGAACAGCTTTCTTTTATTTAGAGTTTTAAGAGCCCATGAGAAAAAAGAAAACAGAAAAACCCCTCTCTGCTTGTAAACAATGCAGTCTCATATCTGGACGTGAATGTTTACACCAAGGGCACCCTATAGTCATTCTGTCTTCAGCTCCTATCCCTCTCCAGAAACATTTCCACTTTCCTATTGATTGATCGTCTTCTGTTAATAACTGTAGACAGGCATCTTACTCACGCACCTTAGTTTAGCATATTCAAAACTAAATACTCCTCTGTAAGAATATTTGTGTTCTCAGTGAGGCATATGTAGAATATGTAGGTTCTTGTGAGCTGATATGATGCCATCCCAAAAAACTCTGTGTCTCCTTTATGCCTAACATTCAAGTACTTCTTGTCTGCCCTCTGAACACATTTTACTTCTAATCCTCATCTTTCTCCATCTCTAACTCTTGACTAAATTTTCATCATCAACATATTTTCCCAGGCTTCTGAAATATGAACTTATCTGTCTCTTTCTCTCTAACCTCATTATATTTTAATTTACCTCCCAAACTACTTCCAGGTACTTATTTTCTAAAAAAAATATTGTTATTGCATCCTCCTTCACTTATGCATAATGAATTTCTCTCAGCTGTGATTATTTCTTCTACTCAACCACTCTTATAATACTTCAAAAAGTCTTCATTAGTTTCTCTGTCTTGTGCTAGATAAGTCCTTCTGGATCACATCACTTTGCATTACCAGCTATTATAAAATAAATCTCTCTGTAGTGCAGTTGTGTGCTATTACTAGCCCTTAAGAGCATGGATCCTTTCGGAGTTATTTTTCTTGTCTCAAACCCTGGTTGCTTCATTCATTAATGACCCCAAGGATGGGCCAACATATCCAGTGACATACTACTTTCTTTTCCCGTGATTGCTGAAGATTCAAATTAGCATTACAACTAGATACTAGAGGCAGAGCTGAGTCTTTATATTTGTTCAGTTACTTATTGGAAATTGGTTAGTGAGGGAGGCTAGGAATGGAAACCCAACTAACAATAGCTTCTGGAACTCAGCAAAACTAAAAGCGATTCGTTCATTTCAGTTTTGGTTTTGTTTATCCAATAACCTTTAAGTTCCTTTGGGAACCTAAAACTAAAGTTATTTGTTTAACCCAGAGTTATGAAATAATTTAAATTCACTGTTGTTCATTTGATTGTTCAAACATGCTTGCAGTTTGTTAATAGAAACCATTTACATTATACACTTGTTGCTCTGCTGTAATAGTTATCCATTTCTTCACAATATTGAGGAAGAAAGTGTTAACATAAATGTTCAGTAAGAGCATGAGTAGTTGCCCACAGCTATGCCTTGCAATTCAGTGATAACTGTAGTGAGAGGAATTAACAAGAAATGTAAAGATTTTGCTTATTATACTGACACAATTGTAATTAAATCTAATGACAACCTTTACAGCTTTCACTCACAATAACTACATTAGAAAAATGTATGTGTTTTTGCTAGAGCTGGCATCTAGGGATGATGTGTTATATTTGAAGAAAGAAAGAAAGAAGGGGTGGTGTAATTATCTATATATGTTGTATATATCTATTTATGTATTTCAAATGTAAGAAGCTATACATGGATATATGAATCACTGATTAAACATTAGCCACACAGTAGGAAATATGTGGGTATGTAATTCCTAATATGTAAGTAGATAATAATCTCTATGTTTTTGTCAGAATTTTGAGATTATTTTTGTTTTATTGATAGAAATTCAACATGTATTTATGTTAAATCAGTAAATTCTGAAGCAAAGAGAAATTCTTACTTTAAAAGAATTTCAACTTACTTTTTAATTGAGAGATGAAATTGCATATGTTTTCTGTGTACAGTACTGTTTTGAAGTATGCATTGTGTAATATATAGTTGATTAACATATACATTAGTTCATATAGATATCAACTTGTGGTGATAATACAATTTCCACTGTCTTGGCATTTTCAGGAATACAATATTTTGTTAGTTATCGTCCCCAAGTTTTATAATAAATTTCCCAAATGTATTCCTCTTATATAACAGAAATTTTATATCCTTCAACCAACATCTCCCTAAAACACCCCTCCAAACATCCTAGCTCCTGGTAATCCCCCTTCTACTCTACCACTAGGCTAATGTTCTAATAGATAGGACAGCACCAAATAATATATGAGGTCAATCCCAGTTGATCAGCAGAGCTAAATGTATGGCACTGTATTTCTACCTGGCTTGTGTCAAATTCGGTAACAATCTCAAAGGCATAGGTTTAGGATTTTAATAATTGTTACCTAAATAGATCACTAACATATATAAATCCCTGACACCAATGATTCCACTTGTACAAATAAGTCAGCCAATAACAACTCTGTCTGAGTGTCTCCAAAATGCATAACACAGTGGTGAAAAATACAAGTGTGATAGAATTATTTGTTAAAATGTGGTAAATTCAGTCTCAGAAGTTACTGTGACACCTGGTCAATGTGTGTAGTGTGCAGCAAACTCATTCCATCTTCCTGCTCCAAAAATACATTAAATATATTGTCTTTGATCAGAGAACATATCAAATATTAGGTTGTAATATTAATAACACACAATCTTAGCCAAAAGGCTGTGACACAATTATTCTGTAATAATTTTATGAATATGTAAGCTGCTTCTCTCTTGAGTAATGCAATTTCTCTTCTCTCCACTTTCTGCAAGTTTTCAAGCTTACTTGTTTAGAATATATAACTGCTGCTCACTGTTATAGAAACCCTTTCTTATTTTACTGCCCATTTAAAGCTTTATGTTAAGGTACATGAACAACATGGATGTTTGATTTCAAAGAAATTATGCTTTACATCACTACTTGCCTTGATATTATGTTTTAGAAAACATTTTATATTTCTCAGTCCAGGAATGTGAGTTTGTATGGCATTTAGATAAATGGAGTACTGCTTTGCCATAAAGAAGAATAGACCAAGTACTTTGTAGAAAAATGGAGGCACCTTGATAACACAATGTTAAGTGAAACAAGTTAGACACATGGGCTCAAGTATCAGACAGTTTCTTTTATATGAGAACATCAAAATATAAATACAAAGCAAAACAAGACAGATCACAAGAAATAGGGAGACAGATCTTTTGCAGAACAGAAGTGGACCAAGAGGTTGAGGAAGGAGGGGAAGAGAGAAAAGATGAAAGAGAATTAAGATGTGTTATGTACTTGTACTAACTCCTCACAAGGAATGTAATCACTATGTACTGGAAAATGTAGTAATATAAATAACACTGCAGATGTAGCACAGTGCATATCTGTACATGAAATTCAGACTGTGCTGCACCAACTTGTCACCTCTGTGAGAAATGATTTTCAAGTAAAGAGATAATAGTTAATAGTTGCTTAATCCTTCTCTTTTGAAATGTCCAATTTAGTGAGAGAGATCAATACTTAAAAATAATTAGAATCCCAAGGTGAGTGTTAAGCACCACAGGGCCCAATGACCAGAGAGAGGCCACAGGGGTGAGAAGATGACTTTCAGCAACCTAGCATGTCCTAGACAGTATGAATCCTGAATGATGGAAGGCACATACTAGAGATATAAAACGTAAAGGGTGTTCCGATCACAGCTGTGGGAAGAGGTGATATTAAGTAAAAGAGGCATGTGCTTGGGGAAACATTCATCGAAGTTTCTTCCCCAGATAAGTAGAATGAAATGAGAATTGGTTTTTAAGGGAGATTATTTTGGGCAGGTGGCCAATTGAATTTGTCAATAATTTCGGGGCATGAACCTGTCTCTATTCCTCCCTCCAAGTAAGTTTGAGGTGACATTACAATTTGCCTGGACCCAAAGGTTATCACCAACTTTTACAACACATTCTACTGTCATGGAACTTAAAAATTTATATCTGGAAAATGGCAAAGTTACCAGTAGCAGGTATTCTTTTAAAAGATGGATTACTTATTATTACAATATCTCTAACATTTAAAAATGTACTTATATGCAGGATCAAACAATATATTTGATTACACAATTATCTCATATGCAGACTGGTTACATCTATGGAAATGTAGTCTGGCAAGTTGCAAACCTTTTTGGATCTGCATTGAAAACCTGTTCACACCGGTGAATGTTTCTTTCTTCCTGTGGGACAGTCTGCAGAGGCTAAGGATAGCTGTAAATAGAAGATTCCAGATAAAGTCATGTCGCAGCATGTATAATACCAGTACTAGTGTACACAACATAGTTTGAAAATAACTAGAAGAGGTAGAAACTGTGTACAAAACTAAGAGCATGGACACATAATCTCAAAGTATTTTGATCCAAAGTTTTCAGTGATCACAAGATGATCTCCATTGGTATATGCAGAATTTGTGAATATATGTATATATATGTGCATAAGTAAAATATATAAATCCAATCACATTCAAAGGAGCTGTTGCTAGAACATATAAACAGCAATGATGAAACCAAGATTCATCCTTCATATTTGGCCTTGGATAATATTCATATTATCAGGTTTTTTTTTGTTTGAAGCTACTATTGTTTCACAGCTAGGAAGTAGTTTTCAGGGAGAATAACCTGGAGTAAACATGTTGATCCACCCACTTTACACATATTTACAAAAAAAAACAATTTTTAGTTTACCTTTCTGTGTTCTTGAGTTCTCATCACATTTTAAGAATGTGTTATGAATGCATTAAACAAATTGCTACTTTGTTCAGAGTTTTTCATGGCATCTCCAGCTCATGGACTGATGAACTTTATTCATGCTCTTGATTGAGCAAATCTGAGAATGTCAGTCAATATTTGCTGAACAGAGTTGAGAGTACAGCATCAGATAAGAGGAACAAATGCACTCCGAGTGATGTTTCTCTAGTGAAAATTATTTTAAGGTGTGGAGCGATTTGTGTATGTAGTGGCATAATCCATTATCCTATGTATGATAAATTCCTAATGCTGGATGACTTTACTTTGGCGATAAAGGAAAGGAAGCAATAGTTCTATCATTCTGGGGAATATTTATTTGGGTTATCTAAATGATGATGTTGTGTACTGGACCAATATTTTTAGGTAACAATTTGGTGCACCAATGGTCTCTGAAACTCTTTACTGATACACATGGGTGAGGAGAAGGTCCATAGATTTACCTGCTAAAAAAAGGAACTGCTCTGATATTCTTTATTTTATGTATCTATTATTCTAAAATTCTTCACTTTTTGAGTTCCATTATTTTTAATTTAGGCTTTGGTGTCAGGAATAAATGGGATAGATAGAAAGAGCCTAACAAAGAAAAAGAGAAAGAGCAAATGTTACAAATTAACTGATAAAAATGATACAACTATTTATCTCCTTACTCAAGTTTAATTGTTCAGTAAAAACAATAGTGTTTTGGACTAAGAAATATCACAGTTTTTAATGGAAGTAGCGCAAATTAACAAAGATTTTTCTCTTCTAATAGGCCTGTCCTGCAAACTTAACTCCCTGTGGAGAATGAACAAAAAGAGCTGAAAACAGAATTGCAGAATGGTAAGTTGTGTCAGGCAGAATTTAAAAGGCAGCAAATTCACTCTTAATAGTGGCCTTCATTTCTTATTTAAAATACTTTCTTGCTTTTTAAGTGAAGTAAAAAGGTTTGAGATGTCTTCTTGCATCTGGCCTACATTGGCTCACACAACGAATTTATTGAAAAAACTAGGCTGAACTAGACCAATACCTTGAGCGTCACCAGGCATCCACATCCATAAGCACAGAGATAGCATGCATGTTACTCAGCTTTGTGAGAGGGTGACAAATACCTACTGTAACACTCTTATAAAGAAGAACATTTTCCTTTGGCTCATGTCTTCAGGTGTCTGTCCATAACTCATTGGGCCTCTGGCCTTTGGGCCTGTGGATGGCAGAACATTGTAGCCGAAGAAGCTGGCACAGGAAGCTGCTCATCTCATGGTAGCCGGGAAGCAGAAAGAGAGAAGAAAGGGCTGGAGCCCCCTCCACATAATGCAGCTTTCTCTTGAATAATGTCAATAAGGGCCAGGGATTTAGCTCAGTGGAGCTGTGCCTGTCTGGCAAGCACAAGGTCCTGAGCTCGATTCCTGGTACCAGAAAAAAAAAGGAGGAAATAACATCAATGATATTGTATAATATTTGCTTATGGCTGTAGCTGCTCCCTCTATCAGACTATGGGCTGCCTATGGGTAGAGATCTATGTCGAGAATATCGTAATTGCATAATAAGTATTTGCTGCATGGATGCGTGTTCTATAAATAAATAAGAATGAAACTATGCAGATTATGTGTATATTTTTTCAGTGTTCTTTCTCTATAATTAAAGGTCAATCTACCTTACTTAATATGGTTTAAATCAAATTAGAAGCTTTTTATTATGTACCTCTTTTGGGGTTCCCAATACTGTTTTTTAATCATTATGTCTCGACAGCTGGTGTGTAAAATTTGTTTCTTCGAGTTATTTTACATGTATTTGTAGCATCAGGCTGTGTGTGTGTGTGTGTGTGTGTGTGTGTGTGTGTTCCACAAATCAATAACAGATGAAATTCCAGGGTATCCAGTGTTATCCCTCTATGAGCTTCCATTGAAGTAAAAAAACAACAACAACTTCAGACCAGCAGATTTTCTAAACTCAAATGTATGCCTTCACGGTTATTTTCTTATATTCTCAGCTTTTGTCTTTAGTATGTTTATAAAATATGTTTTAAAAATAAAGGACTAAAATAACCTACAACTGCATATATGTGGTGATATATGCATAGGAAAATGTACAATACCCATTTTTAGTTCTGCACTAGAGAAATGAATTCCTCTAGACAAGGGAAAGGCTTTAAGATTTGAAGTTTTATATTGCTGGGAATGCTGGACTTTTATAGTCCAGCAGATATGCATGATGAATGACAATGATAAGGCCAAATTTATTTATCTATTATACCTTAAATCCTTAGAACTTTTAATTAATGGTAAAGTAAAAAAGAGCCTGAAGTTTTGTTTTTTGCAATCAATACAAGGCAAATGATGATTGTAAGGCATGCTGTATTGAATAAAAACAGAGTAAGACTCACTCAAAAATATTTTTATCTAGGGATTTGTGATCTACTTCAGTGGCTTGCCTACTTTTCAGAGGATTTCCACCCTTTCATATGAGATGTGCTATGTGGAAAAAATACCTCTACTGGGTTGCATACAGATGATAAAAATGAAATTCTTTAGATTCTCCAAAGTTCAAAGTACCACAAAGCTCTAAACCAAGTAGATCTTGCCAATATTAGTGGCCCAAATCCTGAAAACCAAGTTAGAAGTCAGTCTTTAATTTAGAAAGTAGTATGTTTTTAGAAGTTGTTGAGAATTAAATCATGGCTATTTGAACCAGGAGTGGTGGCACACACCTGTAATTCCAGCACTAGGGAGGCTGAGGCAGGAGGATCACTGTGAGTTTGAGACCAGCCTGGGCTACATAGTGAGTTCCAGGACAGTCTCAACTACATAGTGATACCCTGCCTCAAAAAACAAAAACAAAAACAAAAAAATCATGGCTGTTTGAATATATATCAACTGCTTATAATGTCTATGGAAAACAAGATCCCCTCCCTCCCCTGGTAGACCTTCAGTCTGATAGGAAAGAAAGACAAGCAAATATAGAAACTAAGCTGAGCACAGTGGTAATTGTGTGTAATCCCAGCACTCTACAACACTGAGGTGTGAGGCTTGCAAACTCAAACCATGCACAGCAAGACTCTATTTCAAAGTTTAAAATTTTTCTTAAAAAAAAAAGAGGTTGAGGATGCAGCTCAATTGAAGATCCAGGCCTCTATCCCTAATACTACAAGAATAAGACAAAATAAGGTAAAAACAAGAGTCCAATAAAGGCTAAGATCTAGAAGAAGGGAATCCTACAATATCACAAAACAAGACAAATACCAGGAGATATGGATGTTTCAGGGGAGACTCCTGGCAAGAACAAATTTCTCAGTGCTGACCTGGAGGGTCCTACTAAGGAGTTGCCTTCAGAGTGAGCATGCTGGACAACTGCAAGAAGCCAACTTTGGCTGTCTCAAAACAGCAGTAAGAGTTTATGAGGATGTGACGAAAGTTTCGTGGTTTCCGGTCCCAAGTATTTTAACTGTTAGGTAATACAGTTGGTGCACAGAAGAATAGAAAAGGGTGCAGATGGCAGTCACTTCAGCCAGCCTACCAAGAAGAATGCTTTTAAGGGTGTGTCAGGGGAGACTCCTGGAAAGAACAAATTAAGGAGAGACAGGAAGTAGAGTGCTTTTAAGGAGAGCATTTTCCCCACAACTTTCACAGAGTGGGATGTTAGGCACAGAGCACTGGCAAAAAATCCAAGATGTAGACACTTGCCTCTTCCTGACCATTCGGTACAAGTTGCAATTTGAAGAAAAAAAAGAAATATGATTAGTTGCTTTCCCAACATCTAGCTCCGTTTCATCCCATAACTCATATATCGATAGTTGCCACCTGCACTCACCCAGCCTACAATCCACAGAAAAAAGCCAGTCCCATTCGTCTTATAGGAAAAGCCCCAGGAGACCTAATGATTTTATAATCTTTCACAGCTTTATCAGTTCAGGAATGGGCTTGTAATTTAATTTTAGCCAATGAAACATGAAAAACTTGGCATTTGCTCCTCTGTAAGAACTCTCATCATGATTCCTTGTCTTGAGTGACTTCAGATCTGACTGGCTGAAGTCCACACATTATACCTGTGTTACAAATGCTGTCATTTAGTGTGTAGGGGGAATAATGTAGAATTTTCTCCATCCAACACAAAACAAAAAACCATATGTGGTTATTTGATTTCAATTTAACTTATCACAGATTAAGCAAAATCTTAAAACTTATTTCTAATAGCACAGATAACTCAATAGCCTCATAGCTTCCAATGGGTAGTGCTGATAGAAAACATTTCTATTATTGAAGACAGTTGCATAGAGAATTACAATGAAACAGCACTGAAAACATTAGATTAAATCAACCCTGCAGCTTGCCCTGCCTCTGGATTTCCAGATGTGTGAACCTGTAAATACCATCGTTTAAACTTGGCTTTCAGTTATTTCCAGCTGGGAAGATCCCAGCTAACTAGGTTGTCAATCTGCTTAAACATGTTAAAAATTTAAGATATTTTGTGTACCAGAACTGCAATGTCCTTAAATAACAGCTCCCAACATCATATCCTGTCCTTTAATATGTATTAACATCTTGGTTAATAATTAATGCATTAACAAATTGGAAAGCTCTTTCCCCATAGAGTCATATGTGTTCTCATATTAACAGCTTATTGTTTTTCTGAGATTAAATTATTTTGGCCTTTTTGAAATAAAGTATGACATTCTTCAAATTTTGTGTTAATCAAAAGTCCTACTGAATCAACCTAGAGAGGATTCTTTGGTATAACCAGACAAAGGACAGATTCCCTTCAAATCCTTGTAGTCCCACACATGGTTCAACATCTGATGTAAATGTCAACCCCTGGGGATACCAGCCTTCCCTGTTTGTCATATTAAGGGGCTGGATGGGATTCATTTAAGAGCAATGCAACAATAGGGGGCAATTATATTTGTACCACGAAGCAATCACTTTTCTCAGAAAAGCTCAGGCACCCATCTGAGACCCCTGCCCTGGGGGGGCAGTTTTCTTCTGATAATCTCACCTATTGAACTGTCATGTTCCATTGCTCAATTAACTTCTCCCAGTAGATGGTTCAATAAAAATGTTCCCTCTATTCAGGCGTTTTGACGACTCTCTCTCTCTCTCTCTGCTCTTTCAGAGCAGCCACAATGAAATCCTAGGCAGGAATCCCTGCAGCTGCACACAAAAGCTCTTGCCCTGGCTCCACCCCTACCCCCACCCCGAGTCCCTTCTTTTCCATTCCTGTTCTAAGAGAAGAGGGAGTGTGGCAGATCTTTCTTCCTCCTTCTGAGAAACAACCAGATCACCTTTTCTGCAGTGGAGATGTTCCGCTTAAACAAATAAATAAAATGACACACTGAGATAAATTAAATGCCTCAACCAAAAATAAACCCTGCATTTTTCAACGCAATGATATTACTACTTTATGCAGTGTCCAAAGCATGTTTAGTCTCCTACTAAAAGATGTCATTGAACACCAGTAACAGTAAACAGCTACTTCACTGAACTATCCCTTTTATTCTTTTTCTTTTAATTACTAAAAATTTTATTAGAGCACATTAGTGATATAGAATGGTGAGATTTGTTTTTAGAAATTGGTATATGCTATTAATTTTTAAAAATATGAAATTTCCTATTACTCCAGAAAGAAGAGCTATAAGCAAGAAATCAATAAGGTAAAAACAAGAGTCCAATAAAGGCTAAGATCTAGAAGAAGGGAATCCTACAATATCACAAAACAAGACAAATACCAGGAGATATGGATGTTTCAGGGGAGACTCCTGGCAAGAACAAATTTCTCAGTGCTGACCTGGAGGGTCCTACTAAGGAGTTGCCTTCAGAGTGAGCATGCTGGACAACTGCAAGAAGCCAACTTTGGCTGTCTCAAAACAGCAGTAAGAGTTTATGAGGATGTGACGAAAGTTTCGTGGTTTCCGGTCCCAAGTATTTTAACTGTTAGGTAATACAGTTGGTGCACAGAAGAATAGAAAAGGGTGCAGATGGCAGTCACTTCAGCCAGCCTACCAAGAAGAATGCTTTTAAGGGTGTGTCAGGGGAGACTCCTGGAAAGAACAAATTAAGGAGAGACAGGAAGTAGAGTGCTTTTAAGGAGAGCATTTTCCCCACAACTTTCACAGAGTGGGATGTTAGGCACAAAGCACTGGCAAAAAATCCAAGATGTAGACACTTGCCTCTTCCTAACCATTTGGTACAAGTTGCAATTTGAAGAAAAAAAGAAATATGATTAGTTGCTTTCCCAACATCTAGCTCCGTTTCATCCCATAACTCATATATCGATAGTTGCCACCTGCACTCACCCAGCCTACAATCCACAGAAAAAAGCCAGTCCCATTCCTCTTATAGGAAAAGCC